CTTACTATCTGTAAACACTTTTAAACTGAGTCTCTAGATATACTCTTCAGAGACACTCATGAATTAAAAAGAAACTTTCTTAAGTTATAACTACTTAAAATTATCTATTAAATTACAATTTATAAAAGCTTTTGCAAGTTTGTATTTGAAATGAACTTATAAGTCTGACTGTGTGATATGAAAGATGAAGAAGCTATTATCTATATAATAACAGATCTTCACTATATCAAAGTCAAGAACTGACTGAATTATCTAGAGATTGATTATAAGAGATTCTGCTTATCTGTTCTTAAGATCTATCTAGAGAATAAGTTGAGAAACTCTGTGAGTTAAACAGAGAATATCTGAGCTGCAATCATTAATATTAGAAAAAGAGATGAGAAATCTGATAAAGACTACTCACATCATTTTATAAAATTATGATATAAATTGAGATCTGTGAAAATAGAGCTCTGAAATAAGATCTGAATAATGATATTTATAAAGAGACTGAATAAAGATATGTAGAACAAGCTCATTGAATAAAACTCTAAGCTCTTAAATCTGAAGAAACTTATAACTCTTATTCATTACTTATAAATTACTGAGAAAGTTACAGATCTGTGAAGAGCAGATCAATGATCAGTTCTTTAAGAGTCAGAATAACAGAGAATAGATTTATCAGAGAAAGATGATAAGATATAGAGAGATTTATATCTAACTACTAAGCAGAGAGAAAGAGCTTCATAAGCTTCTATTATTATTATTATTATTCTTCAATTATAGATGTATGCAGTCAGAGACTATGACATCTACCTGAAAACTTTTAGTTCTCAGAGTTTTTCCTATATCTATAAAGTTAACTATTATACATTCATCAATTTCAGATATATAAAATCAGAAAATTCCAGCTCAGAATATAAAAACTGTTTACAAATTACAGTATTTTAACATCTTCTGATACTTTGAAACTATTTGACAATATCATGACAAAAGAAAAGAGAACACAGTCTTAAAGATAGACACATTAAATAGATAGATAGAAAAGAATAGAAAGGAAAAGTAAAGTAAAGAGAGACTGTAATAAAACAAATTATCAAAAGATAGTATATAGCTGTTTTAACAGACTATATCAGATCAATTTCCTTCTCTTCATATTCAGATATTTCTGAATTTAGCCATTTTCTTATAGCTGTTTGAGTTTCTGATAGAAAGTCTATTAAGTATTTAATTTCTGTCTCAGTTGAGAATAAGAATCTTATATTTAATTAATTTAGATTATACTTCTCTTTCAATCTGACTCTGAGACTATTATATAATGCACAGTGTATTACAATATACTCAGAATTCTCATTTACATTGCAGAATGAGCATTCTATTGAATCAAATCTATTATCAAATCTTTGTATATAAGATTTAAAATAGTCATGTCCTAGTTTCAGCTGCATTATAGATGAGAATATTTTCTTTTTACATTTGATTGAACAAGATTTTCACTTGAGTTTTGTTTTAAATCTTGAATAATGTATACTCTTCTTTTGTTTCCGCCAGCTTTCATTTCACTTGTCTAAACAAGATTCTTTTATCTTTCTCTTTATAAAAGACCAGGACACAATTTTTTGAATAGATCTGCTTAATTCTGAACTCTTTTTCGCAGCTGAATCAGTCAACTCCGCTTGCATATGAGTATAATAAAAGAATAATAATAATAATAATAATAATAATAATAATAATAATAATAATAATAATAATAAATTGAGAAATAATAATCTCTGAAGATACAGACAATGAAATGCCTGTAAGAGAAGATTTTTTCACAGAGCTTTTAAAATACTATGAATAAAGATTAGTAATCTTCTTCTTTAAGAAGTTATCACTCACACAGAGAAGATATAATACTTATAATCAAGAGATGTTAGTAATTGTTGAATTCTTTAAGATTTGATAACATTATCTTCAGAGTAGTAAGTACTCAGTGTAAGTTCTCACTGATTATACAAATCTACATTACTTCTTAATAACAAAGAGCTTGATAAGATATTAAGTCAGATAAGTAAAGCTGCTTTCAGAGTATGATTTCTATATCTGATACTGTTCAGATCAGCTTAACTCTGCTAATATACTATCTAGATAATCTGATTATAATATCATTATTAAGAAGAAGAATTCTATAAAAGAATCTCTATCATCACTGCAGAAGAAGCTGACTGCAGAGAATTAGAGTTCTCTGAAGCTTGAGAACAGTGCTGATAAGACAGCTGTGCAACTCAGTATAGAAGATGAAAGAAAACTCAGATCTCTGCAGAGAACTGACACTGAAGATTATAAGCTTCTTATATTATATCTTACTATTATTGAATTGATAAAGAATAAAACAGTCTACAATCTTTTAACTCAACTACTTTTAGAATTTATTGATAAGTTACAGCAGAAAGACATCTCTACTATAGCTCAAATTCAGAAGTTGAAGAAGAAAGAATTCAGTTTATACTTAAAAGAGACAGACTCTGAGTAGAACAGTGCTGCTAAGAAATAAGTTACTGATAACTAGAAGAATATGAACTTCTACTGTTAAATGATTCAGTCTTTATCTCTTATAGCAGAATGATATATCAGAAGTTATTGAGAATTTATTATAACAATTCTTATACTGAGCACTTTGAGTTAGAGAAGACTGAAGAGCTTCTAAAATATAAATATATTTAAGACAAGCTCTGAACAGATGTTGAAGAGTATGTTGAGACTTACAATGTCTGTCAAAGAATAAAGATTTCATAGTATAAGTAATACAGTAAGTTAATATCACTACCTGTTTTAAAGAGCTTATAGCAGAATCTATTAATGAATTTCATAGTTAATCTGCTGAAGTCAATAAGAGTCAAAGAATATGACTTAATTTTGATTATTATTAATTACTTTATAAAGATAATTAAATATATCTCTACTTATAAAAAGATTAAAGCCTCTGAATTAACTGATCTGTTTTTACATATTATTATTCATAATCATAGTACTCTGAAATTATTGATAACAGATTAAGAATTCCTCTTTATCAGTAAATACTAATCATCTTTTTACTATTATCTTATAATAAGATGTCTTCTCAGCACTGTATTTCATCTGCAGACAGATAATCATACTGAATGTCAGAATCAGATATTAGAACAGTATCTTTAAGTATTCTATTTATATTATCAGAATGATTGACTCAAGTATCTTCTAATCACTGAATTCATATATAATAATATAAAGAATGCAATCTTAAAAGTATCTTCTTTCTATACTTATTATGAATATAATTCTTCATTATTCAGTGACATTGTGAATAACATTTTAAAGAAAAGAATAAACAGTCAGAATGTTACATAGATACAGAGAATAGAGTATCTCTTAGTATTAGAAGTAAAAGATAGATTGAAACTTTTGAATAAAATTTATAAGAAGATGATGAAAAGCATCTGCTATGCTCAGAAGTAGTAGACAGAATATTATAATTAAAAACATCTTTCAATGAAGTTCTTGATAGAGAATCAAGTACTACTTTCAGTAAAGAATATCAAGATAATAAGATTATATAAGAAGCTCAGTGAGTGATGACTAGAATCTTTCTCAGTAATAAGAGTAATAAGTAAGCAGATATATAAGTTGAAATTAATCTCAGAATTGAAAATAATTCATTCTATATTTCACATTTTCTATTTGAAGCTCTATAAGTAATATTTTGAAACAGAGCTGTCTCAGCTGAATAATATTGAGATTGAGAATAATACTGAATATCTTATGAAGAAAATATTGAATAAGTGAATATATTACAGCAAGCTTCAATATCTTATTAAATGAGAAGATTATTCATTATCAGAGAATTTATAAGAACTGCTTAAGTATTTGAAAAATGCTGAGAAAGAGATTGTAAGCTATGAGATAGCTAGTAGAGACTGCTCTATTATATATCAGAGATATTAAGTAAGAAATACTGCTTAAAACTTCTCATTTTTCTTAAAGAATCTTTTAGAGATAATCTCACAGTTATGAGCTGATATCTTATAAACTCTGTAGCACTCTTCTTCTATTTTTTCTTAAAGAATTTTTTAGAAGTTTAATGAGACTATATAAGTGTAAAATTTCTGAAGCAGTTAATAAGAAAAGAAAGAAATATTCAAAATCAATGAGATTAATATTATTGACTCACAGACTGCTGCTATTCTAATAGAGCTGCAGTCTGTAGAAAAAGTAAAAAGAGAAATCTCAAGATCTACTTGTTAACAATTATATTCTCATCAAACTCATTCTTCATTATTGAAGTCTCTGACACTGATATCTTTATCTACTGAGAAGTTAGTACTGCAGCATCACAGAAGAGTATAAGAGATATATAAAGTATTAACTTATTAATTTACAAAGCATCTCAGTCATCTGCTTCAACTGAAGTGAGATTCTCTTTAATTAGTGATTTATCTCTGTAATACTTTTAATAGTAGTATCAGCTGATTTCTTCTTAAGACTGGTTATTCTGAGATGTTTTTTCATCTTAAAGACTCATACTTTCATCTTCTTTTATAGATGAGTAAGAGGAATCTCTTCAGTCTTAATAAAATCTGTTAATACTTGAAGCTCTGAGATTCTTACTCTATTCTGCTTGAGTATCTAAGCTTCATATCAGAACTGACATAACATCTTCTTATAAAGTAATACTTACAGAAAGACAGAAGTTATTGTTACAGATATAATAAAAATAATAAGAGTGAGAGAAGAAGTAGATGTATAAAATTCTCTCTTTCTTCAGCTGCTTAGTACAGTATAGATAAGTGATAATACTGATCAGAGACTATACTGAAGTCTTCTCACAGAGAGAAGATAAAGAAACTGCAGAATTCTGCAGACTCAACTCAGCAATATTCTGAGCAGAGCTCAGATATGTTATAAAAGAGAAACTATAAATTGAACTTCTCTAAGCTACTGTTTCTGAAATCAAGCTCTCTCTGAGATTCTCTCTGAATGATCACACAGAGTCATACATCACTATGTTAATTGAGAGAGAGAGTGATGTTATAATAGCAGCAGAGAAGGCAGAGAAAGAACTGAATACTGTTGAATCAACTGATAGAAGAAATGACACCTCACTGCAAGACACAGCTTCTACTGCTACAGCTGCAAGAAATGCAGGAGAAGAAGAAGAAGATGTGATAATAAGAGTGATACTTTCACAATCTGTCAATACTGCTGTCTCTGCCTTCAACCTGACTTTCTTAGCAGTCACAGAGACTGCAGCTGCATCATGAAGACATTTATTACTTACTAGAAAACATCAGAATAAGCCTCTTCTTGTCTTTCAAGAATGATGCTCTCATGCACTCACTATTACAGATGAGAGAGAGAAAGAAAAATGTATTATAAAGAGAGAGAATCTTTCTGAAAAATTCTGTTACTACTGTTAACTTTGTCTCTAAAATACATTACTTTTATAGAGAATTTCATATATAGAATAAAATATAATAAGAGATCTGTAAGTCACTTATTAACTACATTTTTCACATTTTAAATCAATATATAAGAAATTCACTTATTATATATTTAATTTAAACAGAGATGAGAAAAGAAGATCTACACAGTCAGCAGAGAAACTCATTTATTTCTTTATATCACATACAGTATATATACTGTTAAATCAGTTAGTAACTGTTACTATATAATAAAGATAATTTCTAATCTGATAATCTTGAGAATATCAAGACTATACTTTTAAAGAGAAGAGTATTATCACATCTCTGACTATGTTAAAACTCTGTTACAGTTTCACATAGCTTATCACTTCTCTACAGATGATTTTATTTATTTCATAGATTATTCAAACCAGTTTTCAATCACTCTATAATATTATTCAGATATAATATGAGAAGATCTGATTAATAAATATAAGAATTCTGCTTCTATACAAGATCAGCAGATTACTCTTTTATAATAGTGAGATGCTGCTGAGGTATCACTTCAGCTATTCTCACTCATAGAATAGAAGAAGAGTATCTGCTTATTATTTATATAGAATAGCTAGATGCTGACTCTCAATTAAAGAAGTCAGTGATTTGTTTTCTTCTACTGAAATATATATGAGAGTTACTGCATTTCTCATACAATCTTCTTAGTATACTAAGTATTATATCTGTGATATTCTTGCAATAACTCTGTAGCTCATGAGCTTACTATTCAAGCAAGATAGTCAAGCTCACTTATACAGCTTCTTAAAAAACTGTCTCTATATAATGCTGCTGACTAGTCACTGCTTCAGTTCCGCTACGTTACAATAGATTTGATTCAATAGAATGCTTATTCTGCAATACAAATAAAAATCCTGACTATATTATAATGTATTGTGTACTATACAACAGTCTCAGAGCTAGATTGAAAGAGAAGCATGATTTAAATCAATTAAATATAAGGTTCTTATTCTCAACTGAGACAGGAATTAAATATTTAATAGACTTTCTATCAGAAACTCAAGCAGCTATAAGAAAATGACTGAATTCAGAAATATCTAAATATGAAGAGATGGAAATTAATCAGATATAGTCTGTTAAAATAGCTATATACTATCTTTTAATATTTTTATTTTATTATAGTCTCTCTTTACTTTACTTTCTTCTTTCTGTTCTTTTCTATCTACTTATTCAATATATCTATCTTTAAGACTTTGTTCTCTTTTCTTTTATTATGATATTTCTAAATGATTTCAAAGTATCAGAAGGTGTTAAAATTAGACTGACCGTGTAACTGTGTCTGAGACCAGGATCAGATTTTTTGATAGTCTTATTACCAATTCAACTGATTTCATTACATGGTTTTAACATTAGATAGTAGTCTTATACTGTCTCAGTGAAACTTACTGTCTACTCTTATCACATTTTTCAAATGAGATCATGATTTTCACTTCTTAATTTAAATTATTTTTATTGCTTTAAATGACTTTAAATCTCATTTGAGTGTTATCAAAAAGCATTACTTTTTAAAAAATTAAAAATAGTCTAAAAAAAACCTTAAAATGTCTAAAAATAGTAACTTTATGCCAAGAATAAGACTAAATGAGATCAAATGAAATCACTTTCTCATTTTTTTCAAGTCATGATTTCATTTTAAGATCTGATATATAGTCACTTTGCATGTTTTTTTAATGACTAGTCTCAGCAGGATTCATGCCAAGAAATGTATGAGATCAGATCAAATAGAATCAAATGTGAAATTCATAGTCTCAGCGGCCAGTCTAGTTAAAATACTGTAATTTATAAAGAGTTTTTATATTCTGAGCTGAAATTTTCTGATTTTACATATCTGAAATTAATAAATATATAATAGTTGACTTTACAGATATTAGAAAAACTCTGAGAACTAAAAGTTTTCAAATAGATATTATAGTCTCTGACTGTATACATCTATAATAGAAGAAGAACAATAATAATAATAAGTAGTTTGCAAAGTAGTTACATGTATAAATAATTATTTTAATAAGTGTGAAAAAAATTAACAAGTTGAGAGAAATAAAATAGTATTATCTCTTTATCTATTTCATAGCTTTAAATTGTATCTAGACTGATTATATAACTGTGTCTGAGATCAGAATTAGAATATTTAATAGTCTTATTATTAATTTAATTAATTTCATTACATAGTTTTAAAATTATATAGTAGTTTTATACTATACTATCTTAGTGAGACTTACTATCTACTCTTATCACATGTTTAAATAAGATTATGATTTTCACTTCTCAATTTAAATTTAGTTTATTACTTTAAATGAGTTTGAATCTTATTTAAGTGTTATTAAATATTGTTACTTTTTAAAAAATTAAAAATATTTTTAAAAAAACCTTAAAATGCCTAAAAATAGTAACTTTATATCAAGAATAAGATTAAATAAAATTAAATAAAATTACTTTCTTATTTTTTCTAAGTTATAGTTTCATTTTAAGTTCTGATAAATAGTCACTTTGCATGTTTTTTTAATAATTAGTCTCAGTGAGATTCAAGCTAAGAAATGTATGAGATTAGATTAAATAAAATTAAATGTAAAATTTATAGTTTTAATAGTTAGTCTAGTTATATCTACATAGTATCTGTTAGATTATTTCTTTTCTTTTCATATATTATATAGAAATAGAGATCAATCAGATATCAGAATTAAGTTACTAATATTAACTGCATCTAAATTTTGTTAGAATAGATGTAAATAAGTTAAGTGATTAATGAAGACTAACTCAGGCTGAAAAGTGTAGATACTTCTGAAACATGATTTTATAAATTTTTCTACTCAATCAACTTCAGGCCTCTGACTGATTGATGCACTGTCTGTCTTCTCAAGTTTTGAGTCTTTTTAGCTCTTTGAGTCTGTGTCTGTCTTTCTGAAAATTATTTTAGCATCCATAATCCGTAGGCTCGCGGTAGGAATGTTTCAGTTACCTCGAATGCGAGGTATGTTCCCTCTTTCTCTTTCAATATTTAACTCTTAAAGAAGAGCTTGTGCTTTGAAATCAAATTCCTCTGAAGAAGGATTGCTCTTCCACTAGTGTTCAAGCTGTGGAAAGAGCTCGCTGTGTTCTATCAATGCTAGGTCAGTGATGGATATTGTAACTGCTACTACAACAAATAAAGATTTTGCTATGAAGTGAGTGTTTCGCAGAGACTGCTGTGCCTTGCTATGCCTGCTTAAGGTCTGTCGCGGTTGGCCAGATGCAGGTTTGTCAATGTTATTCAAAAGACAATAGCACGCTTCCAGCCTGTTCTGGTCGCCGACATCCAGGAATGAGTTGACTTCCAGGACCTCTTTCTTCTGAGCCACCAATTCAAAGAAGTCATCAGCGGATAACATCTCTGGAGTTGAGAAGGAAATAAAGCCAAATGGTACACCACCGGGACAAGATGGGACAGAAAGTGACGCATTCATTCCATAAACATGTCATAGTGGGGCCTTCAGTGCCAAGACATAAATCCACCTGTTACCTTTTCCAATGAACATGGGTGCGTGGCAGGCAAAACACCAGAAAAGGAAAGGGCGTCGACGACCTTCGTTACAATTACAGGGCAATGGTGATCTGTTCGTCCAGAAAGTACAACTACGTGAAGCGCACGTCTCGCCCAAAATCATTATTCCTGTGAGCAAACCAAGCCTGCAACGAGCTCCGGAAAGCCTGCGGAATGTTACTATTGTCCAATTACCCAGTGCCATGTATGCCATGTATAACATCGCTTGTGGGTTGCAAGGTTTCCTCCCACTTGCTCCAACCCCAATCATTACACGCTTATTAATCGCTTTTTGGATATATGAAAGACCTAATGCTCACTTCACATTTTGAAATCAAGCCACCAACGATCTCTGCGCCATATGCCTTGCCTGGTCTCTCTAGAACCATCTCGCAAACGACAGAAGCCTGACGATGATCTTGAACAATCACAACATCAATTGAAAAGGCTGAAGCTCGGCGGGCCACCACCAGCATATTGGGATAATCTGTCAAGAATTTGGTTGACCAAGGACACTTTACAAGAATTCGATCGACGTAATAGCCCTTCAAACAGGATAGTGGAGTTGGGACAATGTCCTTGTCAGCCACTAACTCGACAGCTCCACGCAACACTAAAGAATTGTTGCCAGATACCTGCTCTCGATCCCTTGAGCGGCTGCAAGCCTGAAAGCCTTAAGGAGATAAAAAGGCTCTCCAGGCGGGGCGGGCCTGACTTGTCTGACCTTAGGAATGTATGTAATTTTAGCGGCATGCTGGCACTTATGCTGACACATCAGCTCAGTTCCCAGATCCTCATACCCCTTTTTATCAATCAATGAGCACAAGCAGTTCAGGCCGCAGGAAGCGATGTATGGGGTCTGCTCCAGACAATAGCGACAATAAGGCCACTACAAAGACTACAAGCACTACAGTGTATAATCAAAACTTTCAACAAAATCTGGTTGACCATGGTGTCTATCCACCTGGATATAAATATCCCAATGGCCAGAAACTGGCAAAACCGAATAACTGGCTTGAGCTCAATGAATGACTGGTGCAACCCCGAGCTTCCCTCTCGCCCTCAAAGTTCTCTGAGCAAGAATTTGAAGAGTTTAGAGAGGCGGACATGAATGCATCCAAGGAGAAGCCTATAGTACATTTGACCATTCCGATTATCGAAGGCCATATCAATGATGTTAGGTGTATGAGAGGGGACTACCCATTTGGGAACTTTGCTCCTCTAACTGATGGCATACTTGCAAATGCAAAGCCAGACCACTTTTTTGGTGCTCGGCCTGAGCAGCTAAATTGTCAAATCCGTGATGAGCTTAGCGACTTCATTGTTCCGTCGACGCAGAAAGACCATCTGATAGCTCCAAACTTCTTTCAAGAGGCTAAAGGCCCCGACGGGTCATCTGCTGTTGCTACACAGCAAGCTTGTTACAATGGTGCAGTGGGGGCTTGAGGAATATATAAACTTCAGTTGTACAAGCAGGATGAACCTACCTACGATAATAAGGCCTACACGATAACATCAACCTACCAAGCCGGTCAACTCAAGCTCTACACAACACATCCTACCGCTCCTTGAGAAAGTGATGGCCGCACTGAATACATTATGACCCCGCTAAGATCATTTGCGATGACTGATAACCCAGATACTTTTCGGAGCGGGGCATGCGCGTATAGAAATGCGCGGGATTGGGCAAAGGAATGAAGGGATGAGTTTATCAAATCTGCAAATGATAGACACACGCAAGCATGCTTGGAACTCCTCTCTACATCCGAACATGAGGCAACCTCTGAGCCCACTATCATCCTGGAGGATTCTGATACATCAGCCATGTTTGATGAAGCTGAGTTCCACAATGCTGCACAGTGGAGCTTCGCACACACAAATGACAGCGCTGATGATCCTCCGGCTTCGACCAAGCATACTAAAAGAGCAAGAATCGGAGCCAGCTCAATTAGCCGTGCTAGCAGCAAGTCTCTCCAAAATTAAGCCGTCGGCATTTGTATGTAGCCCTGATACCACCAAGTAGCAATGAATTCCCTTTTTTATTTACGCTCATTCCTGGCGTTATTCTCATGTAGGGTAAGGGCGAGACCATCATAATCATCGTTAGAAAACTGTCGCATATATCGCATCTTCGTTGCCATTCAGTTGGCTTCCAGTCAAGAATATTAAGGACCTCTTTCAGGTAATTTGCGGTGATGGGAGGCTGAGAACTTGGTTGCATCCAGTACCATATGGTGAGGGGACATGTTTCTTCAAACAGCAGCCTGGAACACTTATTGTATCATATGAAGGGGTACTTCCAATCAAATCATGCTCCTATATGGGGGTCCAGCCAGGTTTTGGGCAAGCCGCCAAGAGGACCTCGGGAAACGGAACAGGGCTCGCCCGGAAAACCTTCGCGCAGGACTGAGAAACTGAGAGTGTGAGTCTCCTCCTAAATACTCAGTGCGCTGGATGGATTGCTATTCTGCAAATGAATGCAAGGCCTTAATTTCCTGCTTCGGCAACTTTCCAACTTCAGAGATTATTTTTATTATTATTACCTGCTTTTAATTACCGTAACTTACTATGATTAGCACTTGGCTCAGCATTGTCGGATACATCTTGCTAAGTAGCGCGGTGATTACTCACACTAAAAGTTCGGCCATTGCTAATTTTATGAATTTGTGGATGGGTCTGATCTGTTGAACAACTGGATTCATACATTAGATAGATTTTGCAATCACTGCATGCATCAACAACTGCATACATCAATAACTCAATCAGGAAGTTTGATGTGTGGATTCCAAGTTAAATTGCTGTGCCACTGCGGGTATTTCCGGAGATAATCCCCTGGAATAACGTAATTTTTGTGTCCAATCGTGGACGACTGGGGATACATATGGCCTACAAACAGCAAATTAAATCGGTAAGCCATTAAAGCTGAAAGCGTCGAGAGAGCTCACGATGATAGTGGTTGATTGTATTCAATCATCGGACATCGCTGGTCAGACATCAGTTGTTTGGCCTGATCATCCATTTTGCTGCGTTTAGATTTATTTATTTTCGCCATTCTCAAGACACCTCTGGTTGTAATGTTTGATGTTGCAAAGTGATTGTAGCTTCCTGAGTGAAAGAAATTGTCAGGAAAAAGAGGTTATACACTACTGAACGCCACCAACATCGTATTACTACAATATTTCTCATCATCATCAGCTTTCTACAATGCTCATCTAATACTCGCTTATGCTAGCTCTCTTGGCTCGCACATATATTTTACTATAAATAGCTCTATCTTTTGTATGAAATAGATATATTAGATAGTGTACGGATAATATAACAAGCAGATCTTGATACACATAAGATTCATATGTCTCCAACATATTCATCCGTGACACCCATTCCGACAGTTATGAGCCCGGTTAAGCAGCATCTGAAGAGAAGCGCGATACACCGATCCCAATCCTCATTCGAATTTGACAACAATCATTCGAACTGAGATGATTGATCACCGATCTCAATCCTCATTCGAATTCAACAACAAACATTCGAACTGAGAAGATTGATCCTCATTCGTATACGGTCCGAACTACTCGATCGTTATACCTGATTCCCGGTAAGCAGCATCTGAAGAGAAGCGCGATACACCGACCCCAATCCTCATTCGAATCAATAACTATCATTCGAACTGAGATGATAGATCCTCACTCGTATACGTTCCGAAATACTTGACTGTTATACACCCTGAATTCTGATCATATCTATCCTCAAATACTTGAACTGATTCCTCAATCCATTCAATATAAATGATATGACAGACAAGACAATGTCTAGTGCAACTGTACACCTTAGCATTCCTGGAGATTGGAAACTTTGGTACAAGCATATGCTAGGATATGCAAAGAACAAGAAGATATCAGACTTCATCAATCTTGATAAACCTGATATCTTCTCAGAACTAGAAGAACCTCTGAAACCTGAGTGTTCAGAAGAAGCCACTGCAGAGGTCAAGATAGCATATGATATCAAGATCACTGCATGGAAAATCAAATATATGAAATATGAGAAATTGAATAAAGGTATGACAAAGATATGAGATATTATATGAAAAACAGTTGATATCACAGAGCTACAACATGTATACAGTGAGAATGATGATGTGAAGAAGATTATTCATTTATTAAGAGATTAACTCTTTCTCACAATCACAGACTATTAAGATAATGTAAGAACCTGATATCACAATCTCTGCAAAGCACTGAAAAACAGAAATATAGAGAAGTGATTAAATGACTGATCACTTATTAAAGATGATATCAAAGAGATGAATATAGCTGAACAGTTTAACTTGAAGAAAGACTTCTTAAATATAAATCTAGTTATTGATGCAAATTATATACAAGTATAAACTAAGAATATCTGATATAATAAAGATGTCATATCTTTGATAGAGTTAGTTAAGAACTTCAAGAAACAGTATAGAAAAATGAGTATTCTTAAAGAAGATAAATCTATGAACTTTGCTACTCTTAATGAAAGATCTCAGCAAAATACCTCATTATCAGCAATATTTATAAACTGCATCTGCAGAGTCTGTCACTGATATACTCAGTACTACTATCTCAATTCATTAAGAAAGTCACCTGAATAAAAGAAAAACAGAGAGAAGAGAACACAGATTAATCAAGCTCTTAAGAATCAAGATTTGAAGAGATATATTGATTATGTGATATCTAGAGATTTATTTATAAATATTAATATAATAGATGTCAATGAAGCAGTTCTGAAAGAAATGATTCTGAAGTAATTAGATTCTCAATCTATTAATTATCAATCTATTGATCAGCAGATCTGAAAAATATATAAACTTTTCAAATTCTCACTTCTATCTTTAAAACTTCTGAATCTTTGATACTGGTGTGAAATAATATATATACAATAATTAAATACATTTTCTATTCTTTACATCTGTGAATAAGAACACAGAAGTTTATACAGACAATTTCAGCACTAAAGTTGAAGATTATAAAACTGTTAGAATAATTATGATAAATGAAGCAGAAAAGCAGTTCAATATCAACCTTATTAACACAGCTTATATCCTGAATTTCCATACAAATATCATTGCATGGAAACTGTGTTTTCATATAGAAGGCATCTATTATGATGAAAAAGACTTCAGATTGCAAAAACATGCAGATAATACAATCTTTGCATGTGTTAAAGTATTTGAGAGATTGCTAGTTACAGAATATAATAGTAAAACAGCTGTTTATTCAACTATATTAGAAAAAACCATCACTGAAGCTGATGCAGTTATCATACAGTTCATATCACACACTTCTAACATCACTATATCTGAAAAAATGATATCTTCAAATTCTATAACTTCTACAAATTCTTCTTCTTCTAATCTGCTAATACACACTTCAACAAATCATTCTTCTAACAAGTCAATATGCATAAAACCTTCTCAAAAACCTAAGATCTCTATAGCTACACAGTCTACATGATATAAGAGATTAGAACATTCTTTAAAAAACATTATTATAAAACTTGCAAATGATGTAACTAGCATTCAAATCACTTATCTAGAAGCTGCTGCAGATGAGCTTATCACTGAGCTTTGCAACCTCTATCAGCTATCTAATGCGGAAAATCAAATATCTAGAGATTCCCATGTTAGATCTTATACACTGTATTCAACACCTGAATCTACGCCAGGGTTAGCAGGCTCTAATGTTAATACAGGTTCTAATGTTGATACAGGTCTCAATATTGATATTAATACTCAATCAGCTGCGATAGCTGATTGTACTCAGAACACTGATGTTGATATTAATACTCATTCAGCTGCAATAGATAATCATACACAGAATATTACACCTAGAGCTCATGATATCAGTGCTAACTTTGATGAAGATAATATCATTGAAGGCCGCAGAACCCGAAATCACAGAGCTGCTCATTTTGTGACAGTTGAAAATGCCAAAGTCAATTCTTTTCAAATAATCAATGAAGTATTCTCTCATTCTCATTCTCACCCAGACTTCTACAAGTCTCAAAATTTATTTTCTAATACTGTTTTTACTGTTATCAACAATACATCTATCTCAATAGCATCAATTCCTTCAAGGATTCATAGATCTCAACTGTCAGATTCACTGAATCACTGAACAGATGTTGAAAAACACTCACATCGCGAAGAATCTGAGAATGCTAGACTTCATCTCTATGTCAGAGAATTGCTGCCTCTTCTCAAATGATCGATTAATTGTCTTCTTCTATGTGAATGATATCATCATCCTATCCCAATGAGAGGATTCAGATGAAATATATCAATCCGAGAACATGTTCAGTCCGGTGATATTACAATTAATTGAGTGTCTACAGCTCAGATGCTAGCGGATGAACTCACTAAGACTCTGCCACACCAGAAACATACAGAATTTGTTAAGATGCTAGGCCTAGTTGATATATCAGATATCATCAAGGTGTAAGCAGAATAAATAATCTATCTTGATATAATCTCTGCAGATTCATCTACACTCTTTTTCTTGCAGATTTATCTACACTCTTTTTATTGCAGCTTCATTTACACTTTCTTTTACATATTACATTCACTGAAGAAGGTGTGTCAGAAAAAAGAGGTTATACACTTCTGAACATCATCAACATCATATTACTACAATATTTCTCATCACTATCAGCTTTCTACAATGCTTATCTAATACTTGCTTATACTAGCTCTCTTGGCTCGCACATATATTTTACTATAAATAGCTCTATCTTTTGTATGAAATAGATATATTAGATAGTGTACAGATAATATAAAAATATCTTAATGCATATGAGTCTCTGTGTATAAAGACATTGCAGAGCTAAGCTTAAAACAGAAGACTCTGTAAGATTGATTTTATAGCTTATTAATAAAAGAGATAGAACTATAACTGCAGTGAAAGTATACCTCTAAAGATAAAATAAGATTGACTTAAGAATGAGTTAAATGATAATATAGATAATTAATGAAAGATAGAAGAGAGATCTACAGAACTGAGAGATGAATTAATTATCAAAGATAATAACTGCAGCTGTTTTCTTAATTAAGTTAAGAATAAAGTTAATAAGAGATGTTCTTTATAACATCTGATAATACAGTAAGCTCTTTGAATAATAGTTTTCTTTTTACAGACTGCTGTTAATGAAAATATATCAGAACTATAAATCTTACAGTAATAAAACTTAATCTCAGATAATATATCTATTTCAATAGACTATTCACAGAC